TAGCCTGTGGTGCGCATCGCCAGTCCGGCCCGGCCTGTTCCTGCTCCTCGCACCAAGCCGGTGGTGTGCGTCGCCAGTCCGGCCCGGCCTGTTCCTGCTCCTCGCACCAAGCCGGTGGTGCGCGTCGCCAGTCCGGCCCGGCCTGTTCCTGCTCCTCGCACCAAGCCGGTGGTGCACGTCGCCAGTCCAGCCCAGCTTGTTCCTGCTCCTCGCACCAAGCCGGTGGTGCGCGTCGCCAGTCCGGCCCGGCCTGTTCCTTGTTTTGGTTACTGTTTCTTGTGTTTATTAGTTAATAAACATGTTCGCCATTCACGCTGCACCTTGGTCCGTCCCGTTCCTTAACGTACGTGACAGGTGCGTGCATATGTATTCACCCCCTTTGCTGTGAAGCCCCTAAATAAGATCTGGTGCAACCAATTACCTTCAGAAGTCACATAATTAGTTAAATAAAGTCCACCTGTGTGCAATCTAAGTGTCACATGATCTGTCACATGATCTCAGTATATATACACCTGTTCTGAAAGGCTCCATAGTCTGCAACACCACCAAGCAAGGGGCACCACCAAGCAAGCGGCACCATGAAGACCAAGGAGATCTCCAAACAGTTCAGGAACAAAGTTGTGGAGAAGTACCGATCAGGGTTGGGTTATAATAAAATATCAGAAACTTTGAACATCCCACGGAGCAGCATTAAATCCATTATTAAAAAATGGAAAGAATATGGCAACACAACAAACCTGCCAAGAGAGGGCCGCCCACCAAAACTCACGGACCAGGCAAGGAGGGCATTAATCAGAGAGGCAACAAAGAGACCAAAGATAACCCTGAAGGAGCTGCAAAGCTCCACAGCGGAGATTGGAGTATCTGTCCATAGGACCACTTTAAGCCGTACACTCCACAGAGCTGGGCTTTACGGAAGAGTGGCCAGAAAAAAGCCATTGCTTAAAGAAAAAAATAAGCAAACACGACTAAAATTGAGCTTTTTGGCCATCAAGGAAAACGCTATGTCTGGCGCAAACCCAACACCTCTCATCACCCCGAGAACACCATCCCCACAGTGAAGCATGGTGGTGGCAGCATCATACTTTGGGGATGTTTTTCATCGGCAGGGACTGGGAAACTGGTCAGAATTTAAGGAATGATGGATGGCGCTAAATACAGGGAAATTCTTGAGGGAAACTTGTTTCAGTCTTCCAGAGATTTGAGACTGGGACGGAGGTTCACCTTCCAGCAGGACAATGACCCCAAGCATACTGCTAAATCAACACTTGATTGGTTTAAGGGGAAACATTAAAATGTCTTGGAATGGCCTAGTCAAAGCCCAGACTTAAATCCAATTGAGAATATGTGGTATGACTGAAAGATTGCTGTACACCAGTGGAACCCATCCAACTTGAAGGAGCTGGATCAGTTTTGCCTTGAAGAATGGGCAAAAATCCCAGTGGCTAGATGTGCCAAGCTTATAGAGACATACCCCAAGAGACTTGCAGCTGTAATTGCTGCAAAAGGTGGCTCTACAAAGTATTGACTTTGGGGGGGGGGTGAATAGTTATGCACGCTCAAGTTTTCTGTTTTTTTGTCTTATTTCTTGTTTGTTTCACAATAAAAAATATTTTGCATCTTCATAGTGGTAGGCATGTGTGGTAAATCAAATGATACAAACCCCCCAAAAAACCATTTTAATTCCAGGTTGTAAGGCAAGAAAATAGGAAAAAGGCCAAGGGGGGTGAATACTTTTGCAAACCACTGTATGGGCCCCGGTTAAAAGTAATGCACTATAAAGGGAATAGGGTGCCATTTGGGACGCAACCTTTTTGTTCAATTATAACCCCACCGTGTCCACGTCCAGAGCGACTGTGTCTCTGCATTGCTCTGTGCCTGCCCATGTGTTCTGCATTCGAGAATAAAACACTTGTCAGCTCTTTTCTCGACAGAGCTTGGAATTGTTTCCTAATAGAATGGTTTACGTGGCCTATTTCTGCCGGGCCTGGCTTGGATGTTTCCATTTTAAACGTATCATTAGAGCCCTGTTTCTCTCGCTAGCTCCACTTAAATGTGGTACTATCTAGCAGCCGAGCATGTGTTCCAACGTCAGTCTTTCCAACATGAGCCCATGGGTATAGGGTGAAGTTGGGTGAAGTTGCCCCTGGATGCTGATTTTGGGTCAGTTTTGCATTTCTCCCATTAATGGTAAAGGTTAGGATTGGAGGAAGAGAAGCTGATCCAAGATCAGCATCTAGGGGAAACTTCACCCTGGAGCCGAGAACACATGACACAGGACCAGGAAGAGGATGAAGAGGGGGGAGGAAAAAGAAAGCAAACTGCTACAGAAGTACTGTGTCACTGTCTCACTTCTTCTCTTGCCCTTTCAACAGTCTCATACTAGTTTTCTCATGTTGTGCAGTTTTACACCAGTCACTTTGCCTTGTTGAATTCATTGTCAACAACAGCACAGGTCTGCCTATACGAAACATACTCTTATGCTATTCTGGTCTACCTATACAAAACATACTCTTATGTTATACTGGTCTACCTATACGAAACATACTCCTATGTTATACTGGTCTACCTATACGAAACATACTCTTTATGTTATACACCCTTATACTCAATAATGGGTACAAACATGTTTTCTCTAATCAAAGAAAATACATCACAAACTAAAATTAGCTTCAAGACTGACGTGTTTGACAAAGGAGACCTAGAAGGAGCCATAGATGTTGACCTAGTAGTGACTTCATTTGTACCAGAATAGGTCACATACAGTAACATTTCTAATTAGCAATAGTGCAGCGCAGTCAGGCCTCTTTCTCTCCTGTCTTCCTCCTCTCTCCCTCCTCTCTCTCTCTTTCCCTCCACCTTCAAGAGAAATAATTAGGCCAAAGCTAATAATGTTGGTCCCTCCAACACTCTGGCTGACTTCATTAGGGAAGAGAGAGGGGTCAAATGTGCAGAAACCCATTCAACTGAAACAGTGCGGAGGACTCTTCACTTTCTCACTGTATCTTGCACAGTCTGTTTCAGCTAAACAATATGGTCATTAGCATAGCAAATGTCTTTATGCAAAGTGATTTAAGGTATCTGTGTGTGTGCTCAGTGTGAGACCCATGCAGACATTGATTGAGCACTGGGGCCTGTTCAGGAGGATGTAGTTTTATAGAACGTTCAGATAGATATCTGTAAGGTAGAGGGTTTGCAATCAGGTTCACTGTTATTATGGATCAGTATTTCACTTCTCTTCTTTGCATTTGACTGTTTTGTATTCCATTATGTTTGTACTGTGTGCTATGTCCTGCCTCCTTTTTAAGCAAATGATCAAATGAATTTTAACCCATGGTGAGATAATAAAGTTAATCAAATCAGCTATTTGTTTATTTTCTGTCTGCAATGCTCTAAACATTTCACCTCCCTGAATACGGCTGGTGTTGGCAGCCCCATGCTCCAACAAACTGAACCATCAGAAAAGTAGGACATTGAGATAGATCTAAATGACAAGTAATTCATGATATAAACAAGACATGAAGCAGACAACTCATGAATGTACCATTTTTTTTATTGGACTTATATAGAAATACTTAAAAATAAAAGAAAAATAGCACCGTTACTTAAGTTTTACTTTATCATGTAGAACTGTCAGAAAAATAAAACTCTCGATACATTTTCAAATCTTGTCTCTGCAAATATAACATTAGTATTTGACCGCGAGGTTAAAGGCCCTTTATCATAAAATAAAATATACTTTGTTCTTAAACTTTGCTCAATAAAGTACATTTACACTCAAGTAACAGCACCTACATATACATAAACAAGTGGTAAACAAATGTATTAAAATAGAAATATTAAAACTATAGTGGTGCAACAGAAGTCTGTAAGTCCCACTGGAATCTAATTCATACAAATTTTTAGAAAGCATAAACGTTTTTTTTGTCCTTTTTTGTTTTACTTACTAAGTTTTATACATTTCAACGTTTCGTAATAATATAGAATAAAATATGCTTTATATTACTGAATAGAAAATATGCTGGGTGAAGCGATTTAAAAGACATTTTTTGCTGAACATATAAAAACTCCATCCCAACAGAATACTGTCAAATGTAAATACACATCCTTGTGGTTCTTGTATTTCCTCCCACAGTCTGTGTGATATTAAAATAATACAGTGATCATTGCCATAAGGTCATACAAAAAAATAAACAATATTTGAACCCAGCTACAAAAAAGTTCACTGAACTTAAATAAAAATATTTGTAAACATCTTTGCAATACGAAATATAATCTTTCAAGTCAAAAAAGAATAACATACTTCAATCTGTATTAACGTAATTAATATTACAACTTTTTCATCGATGTGTGGAATATTTCCCCCATTCTATACATATATAAGCAGGATATGTTGTTGTACTCCCTCACATGGTTGGCTGACCTTAAACTGCAGTATCTTCACCTTACAAGAATTGAAGAAGTCAATAGTCCTGTCCTGACAAACTCCTCTCCTTGTCTTCACCGTGGCTCCCTCTTACATTGGATCTGTGAAACTGGAAGGCTTTTCTCTGCTTAACAGTCTGACGAAACGACTCTTAAGTACCTCAGTCCAAGACCTTTCTGCCCTTCTCCTAACTTCATAAATGTTGTGTACAATTCATTACTACGACTACTGATTACTATGCTGGAGTATTTGAAACATGCATTTGTAGATGTTGAAAATATCCTTCTCCCTCAAGCTACAGTACGTTATAAACAATTACGACGGAGCCCTGATGAGGGTTGTCTGTCCCTTTTTTGGATACTGCAGCTTTCCTATACATACATATGTATATACACAAACATATATCCCCATACATTACGGTATAGGATCCTTTCAAGCAGAACAAGAGTCTTGTTTTAGTTGTGGTTGTTGCTATCGTAGTCAAGACCCAGTCATCTTGGTAATATTGTCAGTCAAGAAAGACTTGGTCATCTTGGTAATAACATCATAGTCAGAGAGTCATAGAGACAACGTCTTATGAAAATATACGTATGGCCTGAGTGACCCCAGTGTGGCACACGGGGCATTTGGGTTCACTCCTCTGGCAGATGCGGTTGGCACACTCCATACAGAAGAGGTTGTGGCCACAGGGCACCAGAGCTGCAATTACTTCGCTCTCGAAGCACAAGGAGCAGTCGCGACTGCCCTTCCGGCTGGTGGAGGAGGAAGAGGATGAAGAGGAGGCTGAGGAGTCGCAGGGCACCCCGGGGAGGTGGGGCCCGGGCAGGGAGGCCATGCCGTTGGAGCTGGGGTACCCGGTGAAGCCCAGGGGGCCTCCTTCCGGGTCGCTGCGGACTCTCCGGGCCAGGGGGTGATCGGTGGGGCCTCCGGCGTGGTTGTTGTGGAGGGGTGGGGACAAGCGAGGCTGGGGGGTAGAGCCGCCGTTCATCCTCCTCTGGCTCGTCGCCATCCCGTTGGCGTTCGTGGAAGCATTGGCTGATGGGTAGATAGCGGAGGAGGTGGAGGTAGGGGAGCTGGAGGAGGAGGAGGAGGGAGTCATCCCCCGCTCGTACTGGGACCAGAGGAGGCCGGGCGGGGCGGGCGTGGGGCAGAACCCGGGCGAGGTGTCGCCGAAGGTCATGTCAGTGCAGTCGGGCGAGATGACGTCGCCACCATAGACAAAGCCATTCCCGTTGGTGTTGATGTTCAGGTTGTTGTTGTTGTTGTTGCCGTTGGTGGCGGTGTAGCTGAGCGCCGGGGAGGGGGGGCTGTAGTCCGCCATACGCGAGCCGCTGTTGGTGCCAAAGTAGGAATCTGTGGACGCGCTGCCCAGGGAGGATGATGAGTCGTTGCGGTAGTTGGAGAAAGGTTTGCGTCCAGCCGTCGGGGCGGCGCTCTGCGGGTTACTGGGCTTGGACCACAGGGTGGGGTGGCCATGGATGTCAAACCCGACGTCCGTGCCGTTGGCATGGAAGTCGTTCTCGTCCTGGAGCTCAATGAGGCCACCAGTCCGCATGGTGATGTGGGCCTCGATCTCCTCCCGAGCGCGGTCCACGTTCTCAGGCATGCCCGTCACCTCAAACACGGGCTCCTTGTCCCGGCTGGGAGTCACTATGTAGGTGTGGGTTGTCTGCTGGATACGCTTGATGGTGGCCCCCTTGGGACCCACGACCAGCCCAACCACCCTGTAAGGAACGCGGACTTGGATGGTGGTCTGACCCGGTAGGTTGGGGGGTCCAGGGGCCGGGGTACCACCTCCCGTCGTCCCGTTGATGCTTGTGTTCTTGTTCCGGGAGGCCCGGATCATGGAGAAGTGCTCGGCCGCAGAGATGATCTCTCTCCTGGCCATAGCGACGTCCTCCCTCCTCCCTGTCACCACGAACACCGGCTCCTCGCCACGCACGGGCGTCTTGATGTAGGTGTTGGTCTTGGCTCGTAGCGCTTTGATTTTGCATCCTGTGGTTACACAGGAAAGGGTGACAGTAAGTGCATGTCAAAATGTTTGAGAGGGTCAAAAAACATAATTTCATCATGGGTGGAAATGTGGTCTATGTGCTGCTTGAAACAGCTGTGACGTGTGAGTTTGTGTTTTTATTCTCAGCTAGTTCAGAGAGGCAAGAAAAACAATTCACCCTATATTATCCGGGATAAATTCAAACCACATGCTCTAGGACTATCATGCCCCTATGCCAGATGAGGTCAAAAATAGCACAAGTAAAGAGGGGGGGTGCAGAATCCATGATTTCCCCTTAGCACAGCAACAACATATGATAGGAGCAATACCCAGGAAACATCCACTAACTGTCATGATCCATTTCATTTCACGGGGGTTATACGAACATAGATAAGTCTACTTTATTGATTCAATTTCCGGCCATTTATGCATAAAGTTCTATTCCAACGGTCTCCGGCTGTAACCATTTCATCATTGGAAAAATGGGGAACAGTTGAGGAAAGCAGCCGAGGAATGAAAAATCACTGACGTCGTGGGCTGATGCAAAAGCCTATCTAGGACAAGATCGCTATAACATGACAAAAGGAGTGGATCCCTTGTGGATATATACCACTCCCCGTCAGAGCTCTGCCTGTCTATATGTATGAGCGCTACGGTAGCAGCCAAACTATATGGATACTGCAGCTTTCCTATACATACATATGTATATACACAAACATATATCCCCATACATTACGGTATAGGATCCTTTCAAGCAGAACAAGAGTCTTGTTTTAGTTGTGGTTGTTGCTATCGTAGTCAAGACCCAGTCATCTTGGTAATATTGTCAGTCAAGAAAGACTTGGTCATCTTGGTAATAACATCATAGTCAGAGAGTCATAGAGACAACGTCTTATGAAAATATACGTATGGCCTGAGTGACCCCAGTGTGGCACACGGGGCATTTGGGTTCACTCCTCTGGCAGATGCGGTTGGCACACTCCATACAGAAGAGGTTGTGGCCACAGGGCACCAGAGCTGCAATTACTTCGCTCTCGAAGCACAAGGAGCAGTCGCGACTGCCCTTCCGGCTGGTGGAGGAGGAAGAGGATGAAGAGGAGGCTGAGGAGTCGCAGGGCACCCCGGGGAGGTGGGGCCCGGGCAGGGAGGCCATGCCGTTGGAGCTGGGGTACCCGGTGAAGCCCAGGGGGCCTCCTTCCGGGTCGCTGCGGACTCTCCGGGCCAGGGGGTGATCGGTGGGGCCTCCGGCGTGGTTGTTGTGGAGGGGTGGGGACAAGCGAGGCTGGGGGGTAGAGCCGCCGTTCATCCTCCTCTGGCTCGTCGCCATCCCGTTGGCGTTCGTGGAAGCATTGGCTGATGGGTAGATAGCGGAGGAGGTGGAGGTAGGGGAGCTGGAGGAGGAGGAGGAGGGAGTCATCCCCCGCTCGTACTGGGACCAGAGGAGGCCGGGCGGGGCGGGCGTGGGGCAGAACCCGGGCGAGGTGTCGCCGAAGGTCATGTCAGTGCAGTCGGGCGAGATGACGTCGCCACCATAGACAAAGCCATTCCCGTTGGTGTTGATGTTCAGGTTGTTGTTGTTGTTGTTGCCGTTGGTGGCGGTGTAGCTGAGCGCCGGGGAGGGGGGGCTGTAGTCCGCCATACGCGAGCCGCTGTTGGTGCCAAAGTAGGAATCTGTGGACGCGCTGCCCAGGGAGGATGATGAGTCGTTGCGGTAGTTGGAGAAAGGTTTGCGTCCAGCCGTCGGGGCGGCGCTCTGCGGGTTACTGGGCTTGGACCACAGGGTGGGGTGGCCATGGATGTCAAACCCGACGTCCGTGCCGTTGGCATGGAAGTCGTTCTCGTCCTGGAGCTCAATGAGGCCACCAGTCCGCATGGTGATGTGGGCCTCGATCTCCTCCCGAGCGCGGTCCACGTTCTCAGGCATGCCCGTCACCTCAAACACGGGCTCCTTGTCCCGGCTGGGAGTCACTATGTAGGTGTGGGTTGTCTGCTGGATACGCTTGATGGTGGCCCCCTTGGGACCCACGACCAGCCCAACCACCCTGTAAGGAACGCGGACTTGGATGGTGGTCTGACCCGGTAGGTTGGGGGGTCCAGGGGCCGGGGTACCACCTCCCGTCGTCCCGTTGATGCTTGTGTTCTTGTTCCGGGAGGCCCGGATCATGGAGAAGTGCTCGGCCGCAGAGATGATCTCTCTCCTGGCCATAGCGACGTCCTCCCTCCTCCCTGTCACCACGAACACCGGCTCCTCGCCACGCACGGGCGTCTTGATGTAGGTGTTGGTCTTGGCTCGTAGCGCTTTGATTTTGCATCCTGTGGTTACACAGGAAAGGGTGACAGTAAGTGCATGTCAAAATGTTTGAGAGGGTCAAAAAACATAATTTCATCATGGGTGGAAATGTGGTCTATGTGCTGCTTGAAACAGCTGTGACGTGTGAGTTTGTGTTTTTATTCTCAGCTAGTTCAGAGAGGCAAGAAAAACAATTCACCCTATATTATCCGGGATAAATTCAAACCACATGCTCTAGGACTATCATGCCCCTATGCCAGATGAGGTCAAAAATAGCACAAGTAAAGAGGGGGGGTGCAGAATCCATGATTTCCCCTTAGCACAGCAACAACATATGATAGGAGCAATACCCAGGAAACATCCACTAACTGTCATGATCCATTTCATTTCACGGGGGTTATACGAACATAGATAAGTCTACTTTATTGATTCAATTTCCGGCCATTTATGCATAAAGTTCTATTCCAACGGTCTCCGGCTGTAACCATTTCATCATTGGAAAAATGGGGAACAGTTGAGGAAAGCAGCCGAGGAATGAAAAATCACTGACGTCGTGGGCTGATGCAAAAGCCTATCTAGGACAAGATCGCTATAACATGACAAAAGGAGTGGATCCCTTGTGGATATATACCACTCCCCGTCAGAGCTCTGCCTGTCTATATGTATGAGCGCTACGGTAGCAGCCAAACTATTCCTCCGCTTGCCTTTGTTTTGCCGTGGACAACAACTGGCATATTGCAGTGGAAGGGAGGGGGAAACCCAGATTCTGCATGTATGTGTAACAGCAAACTAACGCCCAGACTATGCTAACCTACAGTCAGTCAGTGAAAGATTGTAGCCACTGACTCTGGCCAGCTGCGGGCTATAGTTGCAAGATTGCATCCTAACAAAGAAACAGCGAAAATGAAAAGCAAATACAGTAACCTACTCACCTTGTCTACCGACAATTTCAGCTACATGCTCCGAACTAGGCACAGGGACACATTCGGTCATGTTGACACTCTTTTTCCGGCTAGACTCGTTGTCATATAGCCCGTTCTCGTCGTTGTCCAAGCCGAGCAAGGAGAGCTGGTCCAGGGCTAACTGCAGGGCTCTCTGGTCGTCCAGGGCGTTCTCCTGGTTGCTCCCATTCCTCTCCATCTCGGCGAACAGCGAGCTAGGCATCTTTTCGTTTTTGCAGTCTGGAGCACTGAGCGCGAACAAAGAAGGGAAAACACGGAAGCTGGGTTGGAAAAGGAGTGATGATGGGAAAAATGGGGCACTCGACCGGTTTCAAGCCAATGTTGCAAATCAGTGCGGTTTTCTCTTTCTCCTCTCGCAGTTACAAAACCAGTGCAAGCAATCCGCCCTACCCCAAAGGGACCTATTTTCTTGTTGTTGAGCCCGACTCCCGAAATGCGTCTTGTGGAGGGCACATAAATGCCTATTCCAGAGTTGTAGGTTGGCTTTGCTTGAACGCCGGCGGTGGTAATATTCCTTCAAAGAGCCCCTCCCGACTGGACTCACACACTCAGCTCTTTTCTGTTTCTGTCTGACTTGCTGCAGAGCCAGACAGCACTACTGGGGATATGTGCGAATGACGTCACCCACCAGGGCAGGGTCGGTGCCGCGCAGCTTGGGAAATGTGCATAGCCGGAACCGATTGGACAGGCGCGGTGGAGTGGGAGGTCACAGAAGCGGCTCCCCAGTCCCTGAAAGAAATAGCCTACACTCCCTCCTTTGTTGTCTCTCTACATCAAATTTGCAGTCTCTTTTGATAAGAAAATAAATGCCTTTATATTCCGACTTCCTCATGATAACTTGAGGAGCTTTGTTGTTTATGCCTACTGTGTAATAAATAATAGTCTCTTCCTGAGCGCGCGCATGTTTATTACAAGCCCCATGTAAATAAATGAGGTCATGCGGTTGTTATAGCCCCATGTGGCTTTTCTTTGTATGTCAAATAGCGCATTGTCAATCAAAAAAGCTTTTTCGGCCCATTGCATGCGTCGCTTTGTTATTATTAAAATCTGCAAAAAAAACAAATTACACATAGGCCTATGCGTCAAAATGAGAGGAGTTCTTGACAGTTGACAGTATCCTAAAAAAACATAGCGTGTAATAGTATATAAAAAAAAAGTTAGATTTTAAATGGTTTACTTATAAGTGTTCAATGTTATGAAGCCAAAAACCCAGACATTATGTCACTATCATATCTCAACTGATAAGCTTTTTAAATGAATAAATAAAACCCTGTGTGTTGCAGGGCATGCCCAGACATGAGCTTTTGTTTGGTTTTTCTCTGGCAAAACCTCTCTCTCTCTCCCTCCCCTCTCTCCTTCTCTCTCTGCAAATGTCGGCCAGCTCTTAGCATTGAAGCCTATGTCATGACTCATGACACATGGATATAATGATCACTAACAATAACTGTAGCTGTAGAAGGCTTTTCGAAACATCCTCGCACTGAATTGGCACGCTCGTCGTGACAGGCATTTGCCTCAGTGACACCAGTGTCCCTCCTCTGCCTCTTTGCTTGGGACTTGAAACCAACAGCTAGCAGGTAATTCATTGTTGCGTTCAAACACCACTCATTTCTGCGGATGTTTACACCAGTGAAGTACGCAGCGACAGAGAGAGTTACCACTCCGCGTCCTAAACTAGGGGAAAACCCAATACATAATTAGGTCTCTTGGACCAGATATTAAAGCTTAGTGCTAGGATACCCTACTATAATACGTGATGTAGGCTATAATCTTTAACAGGCATAGTAAAAGGATATTAACATTTACATTTTCGTCATTTAGCAGACGCTCTTATCCAGAGCGACTTACAAATTGGTGCGTTCACCTTATAATAATAATAATAATATGCCATTTAGCAGACGCTTTTATCCAAAGCGACTTACAGTCATGCGTGCATACATTTTTGTGTATGGGTGGTCCCGGGGATCGAACCCACTACCTTGGCGTTACAAGCGCCGTGCTCTACCAGCTGAGCTACAGAGGACCAATGGGACAACCACTTTACAATATATCAAAAAACAATTTTTTAAACAGTGTTTATTGTTTGAATGATGGAAATTGAGTTAGGATGGTAATAGCCCAAACATTCATAAAGGTGGCAGGTAGCCTAGCGGTTAAGAGGGTTGGAACAGCATCCGAAAGGGCGCTGGTTCGAATCCCCGACCTGACTAGGTGACAGATCTGTTAATGTGCCCTTGAGCAAGGCACTTAACCATAATTGCTCTGGATAAGAGCGTCTGCTAAATGACTCAAACGTAAAGTATACTACCGATTATGTGTTTTTTCGATTCTATAATATATTTTCCCCCCTACAAATTATGCAATGAGACATAACACAACAGCTTCACATCTTTTTTTCTTCTTCTACAGGTCCTATATCATGCAACAATACAGTCCTATTGACAATAGCTATTGTCAGTTTGCATATTTCAGTTTATTGTGGGGCATTATGTAAACGTTAGCCGCATGGTGGGGAGCTGGGAGGGGAGGAGGGGCGGGGCGGGTGAGAGGTCTTTCTGCATCCAGCGACCAACGTGCCCTTTCTGGCCAGGCTAGGACCCCGCGGGGCGGGGGGACAGCGGGGGAGCCGCTTCTTTCAACACAAAGGAAATTTCAAACCGATTCAGAGCCATTGAGACGAGAAACACTCGCCTTTGTCACCTCACTCTGCGCTCACAATTGCTATGCTAATATCAACCGCTCCGAACCTGAGAACGCGGGATGGGACCCTCTTGTTATTGGAGCCCCCCCCCCCCCCCCTTCCTACCCCCTCTCTCTTTTTTGTTGTTGCATTGTCACATTGTCTTGTATTAGGGGGTTTGAATGCTGGCTTTCAAACATCTGGAATTTCATTATAGACGTGCAGTGCGTGATATCTGACCCACTTGAAGATATGGAAAGGACAGTGCATTTATGGTATGGAATATAAAACGAAATGAAAATAATAGCTTTTTCTACCTGGCAGAAATAGCAATTGTGCTCTGTCACAAGTCCCATACTACTGTCTGTTAATAATAATTTAACCATATAGGATTTGGTTCGTTTTAACATATTATATTGTCCTTTCACCTGCTCCATTCACGGTCTGGAATAATATGGGCATAGAAAGAGATTGTAATTCTACGAGTATAGGTCTATGGGCTTGATCTGAGTATTTTAATGCTAAAGAAAATGTATTCTGCCGCCAGGTATTCTGCCGCCACCACAATCCAATCAAGGTGTGAATAAAGAACAAACTGGATATTTAGTCAAGAGGGAAATATGATTCCAATAAAAGGTGTTTCTTTATCAACATTATGGAGAAAAAAAAAGTGATGAGAGCTTTAGTTCTCTTAAAGCCTGCATGTAGGCTACATGCATATTTTACCACTAAGAAAACCTGTTTTACCACAACACCATGTGGTGTATGTCCCCAGGATCAAACTGCCCATGGATGTCGGTTTGTTAGTTAAACAAAGCAGTAGTCCACCCATTCAACTCTAGTCCTATAGGTACAGATCTACGATCAGTGGAGGAAATGCAAACCTGACCCAGGGTTAGCGTCTAGGGGCAACTTCACCCTACACATATAGCCCACTTCATGACTACAGCAGCATTATAAACTGGGGTAGTGACAATGTACCATTTCCTAGGCCTACTTGAACGTCTTCACATAATAATGACTCTGAACGGGTCACATTAAAAAAACAAATAAACATGTGTAAAGCATATAGCACGACACAAATGCTTCACAAATAATACAAGCAAAGTTAGACCACATAAAGGGTGACAGAAAAAGTCATTACATCTGGTCTTTGCCAAATGTGACATGTTGCATTTGCCACCCTTAGTATATAGGCGCTGTAGCTTGGCATTAGCTTTTAAGAATAAAAAATAAACAAACATATAGGCCTTATGAAAGGGTTTATGAAGGCTTCATCAAGCCTTACAAGTTCTAATTTGTTATAAGTGGAACCTTGGTGATATTATTTTCTATTCTATTCTAAATTGTACTGAACTGAATTGTTGATTTGTTTGCGCCTATTCACCCTGCTCTCTGGAGCTAAGACACATGTGGTCCGCTTTCTAGCCTCAATGGACTAAATAGACAGACAGCTCCTGGTGTAATGTTACTGATATTTGCTGTGCTGTTCGGCACTCAACGCCACCCAGCTGCTTAGTGGTGGTTAGCCGTTAGCCGTTGGTCTTTTAATGAGAGGAAGATGATATTAGCCCAAGCTGACCCAGAACAGAGCTGTCTGTAGCACAGAGGCTTTAAGCTACTGTACTGACTGACTGGCTGACTGTCTGACCGACTGGCTGACTGTCTGACCGACTGTCTGACTGTCTAACTGATTGCTGCAGGGAGAGAGGGCGGGGTGGGGGGATAGAGTGAGATAGAGGAGGAGAGAGAGAGAAAAAGAAAGAGGCAGAGTGAGGGACAGAGAAGATACAAAAAGAGAGAGAGATAGGGAGAGAGAGAGAGATAAACAAAGAGAGAGAGAGAGTTAAACAAAGAGAGAGAGAGAGATAAACAAAGAGAGAGAGAGAGTTAAACGAAGAGAGAGACAGAGTGACCTAGCTGGACAGGGCTTAATCAGTCCTCTCAGCCACCTGACTTCGTGACATAGTGACATAGTGACACAGTTGGCTGCAGTTACATCTTAAAGGGCAGCAGATGCCTCAGGTCACAGGAAACGACACGTCACAGGAATCATTATGTCACAGGATACACCGTCACCTGCCCCTGGGCATTAGCGCCATGCTACTGTCACGCAGCCTAAACTCCCTGACCCCAACCTTATCCCCCACTGTTTTCCCTGGCTGACCACGCTCAAAACCACACAGAGTCAGTCCACTTATCAATCCTGATAAGTGCATGTCAGAATATGTGCAAACTGTTAAAGTGCAATGGAAGTAATTAGGGGGGGGGGGGCTGTATGGCAAAAGAGAGAGAGAGAGGGAGAGAGAGAGACATAAAGAGATAAAGAGAGAGAGGGAGAGAGAGAGAGATTGGGAAAGAGGGACTGGCAGAGGCTCTTTGTCTGACACACAGAAGACACACAAACAGGGCTGTTATGCTGCTGTGACATAGTTGAATATGTTTTTACGGCTGTGGGTTATAGCAGTAGTAAAACTAGGCTATAGGTAGAGCCTTAGTTTATGACCAACTTTACTTAACATAACATAACAGCCAGACTGGCTGGGCTGTAATACATTTCATGCTGTGTGTGTGTGTGTGTGTGTGTAGGTGTGTGTGTGTATGTGTGTATGTATTGCAGCCATATCACCAGACACCAGTCTCTGCCCCAGACATATTAGCCTTATTCAAGGTTACATGAAGGAAAACATTTAAGGAGCAATTCTAGAACTATCACTATGTTCTAAATTGAAATCCAATGCTAGGTGATACAACACTATTTATTTCACAGTAAGCTTTATATTTTTTCTTATCCATTGGTTTGTATGGAGGAAAACATGACATCTTAAATTAAATGGAAAACAAGACAACAAGATAGTGTTCAGGTCTACAGTATTGTGAAGTACAGTGTGACGTGATGATATATATTAAGTGTCCCAAATGGAACCCTATTCCCTACATAGTGC